TTTACCACTTGTCTGATCCCTCTTTGGTTTCTGACACTGACTGCCAATGTTCCCTTCTTCACTACAATTGAAACAAATCACATCCTTATGCTTGCACTCAGATACAACATGTCCGTTCTTACCACAATGAAAACACCTCTTTACTTCAGTAGTATACACATTACTCTTATGCCCAGGTTTCCCACATTTAAAATAAAACACACTAGCAGGAGCATCTCATCCACTAGTCCTCTGACCCTGAGCAACTTTATGTTTACCTTTACCAGTTGGGGTGTCATAAGGCTTACCATAATTCTGTTGGTGCTTACCCCTCTTCTCAATGATAATCTTGTAATGAGCATTATTATCTTCCTCATAAATCCTGCAACTATCAATCAAATCAGCAAAGACACAGATCTTCTGGTATCCAACTGCTTTCTTGATCTCCGGGCGTACCCGTTCTCAAACTTGATACACTTCGAAAACTCAACATCTGCCTCAGTGTAATGTGTATAAAACTTAGCCAACTCAGAAAACTTGGCAGCATACTCAACAACCGACATATTCCCTTGTTTCAGCTCAAGGAATTCAATTTCCTTCTTACCACAAACATCTTCAGGAAAGTACTTCCTCAGAAATTCCCTACGAAACACAACCCAAGTGACATTCTCACCAGCAGCTTCCAATCATTGACAAGTCTCTAGCCACCAGTCATCAGCCTCGACTGCTAGTATATGAGTACCATACCGAACCTTCTGTGCTTGAGTGCAGTCCATCACATGGAAGATTCTCTCAATCTCTTTCAACCAATCCAATACTCTGTCAGGATCATACTTTCTCTTGAACGTAGGAGGATTCTCTCTCTGGAAAGTCGCCAAGCTACGAGATCCAGCATTTCCGTCAGCATTCAGCTGATTCTCCATCGCATGAGCCATTGCTTCTAGAGCAGCAGCAAGTGTAACATCATTCCTTCCAGCCATCTCAACTTATCAATACAACATAAACAACAGTTATAACTCGACTTAACAATACTCAATTGTTAGACAACTACGACTCGACAACAAGGTCGGACGGACCAACCTTTGCTCTGATACCAACTTTGTAACACTCCAATTCTACCCAACAATTATAAATGTAAATCAGAGTTATAATCATTCATGCAAACGAATCAGGATGCCACAAATTCATCTTTAAAAACACATTGCATTCATCATGGATACTTAACACTTTAAAAATTTGGATGAACTATCATCATAGCAATTTAATCTCTTAATTCAACAATTTAAACATCTACGCAGCGAAATTCATAATAACATCTTTTTCCATCATTACAGCAACTTCAAAATAATGCATACTTAGCAACCAACAATTTAAAGTTCAACAACTGAAATAATCAACAATTAAAGCAACAAGCGTTCATCCCCCCCCCCCCCCCCCCGAGAGTTATATATCAGAGCAATGACACCGACTCGAACTATTAAAGGTATACCGCCTTCACTCTCTATTACCTGCACGTTACCAACATAAGGGCAACATTTAAACAGAAGGAGTGAGATATTTAACAATATAATAAAGCGTATGATAACCAATATATTAAATTAGATCACATTACGTTACCACTTCTCATCTTTTAATCAACAATAATTGTAACAGAAATACCAACAATAATACACATCCATCACATCAATTCACAACTTCTTTATGCAATCATATAATGCGACTCAATACTATGCAAATGCATGTGCTACCATTGGAGCAGAACTCCCATCTTAAAAATCTGCCAATAAATAGAGGCATCAACAAGGCATAAGCCTTCATCTTAATATTCTCCAATACAGGCCATCTTAACGAGCATAAGCTCCGTCTTGAAATGCAATGTATGCGACACAATCATGAATGTAATGACAACACCATAATTATCAACATCTCAATACAACATCATCGTTGGCCAGAAACCTACATCTTAATAGCTTCCAATTATTAAAGGCATCTCAACATCTTTCATCAACATCGTTCATCAACATCATTTATCATCAAACATCATATATCATTATAGTTCACAGCAATTCAGCCACAACAACAATACAACAACAATTCGTCAATCTCGAAACGTTGGCCATAGGCCTACAACATGATATTGTCTATAATTAATTAATCATCAAAGGCTTACTTCTAAATCACGAGACCTCTACATATTACTATTTTGTAATACTACATCATTATCATCATTAATCCTACTGTTACAAACCAAACAATAATCTATAATCATCTCTTCCTCATCATTCTTCACAAAAATCAACATAGAGATCAACACGGGAACTAATCCAATTCCTAACTTGGATACTAGGATTATCCTTCCTCTTCTTCATTTTAATCCTTAAGAATGAAGTTCATTGCGTTAGCTATTCAACGCTTCGAACGACACCTCAAACGAAGTCCGAAAACTCAAGTTACAGCCTTTTCAAACTGATTCTGCCAAAAACCAGACAACATGGATCGACGCGTAATAACTTGGGTCGATGCTTACTGGGTTTAACTCGCTACATGAGTCGATGCATACTCTCTTGTATCGACTCATACTGAGTCTGAAACACTTCATGTATCGACACATGCCCCTACGTATCGACTCATACTGAGTCTGAAACACTTCATGTATCGACACATGCCCCTACGTATCGACTCATCCTAAGTCTAAAAGCCCTCATGTATTGATGCAGGACCCCTTCATATCAAATCATCCTGAGTCTAAAGGCCTTCTTGCATCGACACATAACGTTTGGGGTCGACACATACTGCTCTATCATGAATAATTTCTGCGATTTTCTCTGCATTTTCACTATGGGTTCCATACTTTAGGCCCTAAAAACATCATCTAATCATAGATAATCATCAATTATAATTATACTATGATTCTACAACATTTACACAGCATTAGGACATTGTTATTTAACTTGCAATCATCGGTTTCCATCATACAACACGTATACATTCAAATCGTGAACAAGATAACATTTTGACATCTAATCCCATAAACTAATCATCATAAACCCTATTATAGAGTCAGAACTCCACCCTTACCTTGGATTGAAGGTCGCTCTATGACTTTTCCGGTTGGTTCTCGTTCTTCTTCTTTCCTCCTTTCCAACAGCTTTCACGTTCTTTCTTTCAAACCCTTATTCTTTCTCTCTTACTGCTTCTTCTTTTCTATTATTTCTAACAATAATAAAATAACCCTATTATTCTCTTTATGCCTTAATGGACTTAGAACTATTACACCCCCTTATTACTACTTCTATTCCTTTAAAAGAAGCCCACATCAAATAATATCATTCTTCTAATATTATTCCACAACTTTAATAAAATAAATAAATCCAACTAATCACAACACAACTTCACAAATATTCCAAAAATAATTTAATTAAATAATTAATTAAATTACGGGCGTTACACAAGATGCCACATTTGATTGGTTTGAATTTTATTACCTTGAAAAAGGGTTTATATATGATTAAGATGTTTTATGATTTGCCAAGAAAAAGAAGGTTTTAAATTTAAATGCAAATGCAAAAAGTGAAAAAATGCTAAGAGGGAATTATCTACCTATGTTAGCATACCAAAACCTAGGGGTGAGGATAACTATCCTATAGGGAACATGCAAAGGGATTGAAGTCGTTATCTCAATTCTAATTAAATGACATCATCAATCATTAACAAAGGAAGACGAGAAAGCCCTAAAGGAGCATGCAAATATCGAAGTCGTTATCTCAATTCTAATTGAGTGACATCATCAATCGTCAACAAAGAAAGCAATAAAATCCTATGGGGAGCATGCAAAAGCTGAAGTCGTTATCTCAAAATTGAGTGACATTATCAACCGTCAAAAGATGAAAGCAAACACAAGCACAATTAGCAAACAAGTGCAAAATGCCTGCTATAGGTCTTTAAACAGCGACTTCGAGTGCACGCTCTTTATTTCCTACTTCTCATTATATCTAGAAAAGCAGTAAAGAGATGCGATAAAGTGCGGGAAAATGTAAAAGCAGTAGCGGTGACTATCAAAAGCAAGCGAATCGTCGAAAGCGGAAGAAAGCAATAAAGAAGCAAGGAGTACGCGTCAAGCAAGCTTCACCAAGAAACAAACAAAGTCATAACGATATCCAACTAAGAAAAACACACACGCGTGTTACGAATGCAACGTGTAATCAGAAATTCATGCACAAAATATTACATGCATTCGGAGAATATATAATATAATATGAATTTCTCATGACGATGAGAAATGAGACATGTTGCATCAGAAGCGAGCATAAAACATATGTTTCGATCACATAACAACTTGTTATGCTACATGATCGAAAGCACCAAAATATATATTGCACAATGACAAACGCGTAAAAAATAACAAGGCAAAACAATGTAAAATATGAACAAAAAAACTAAAAGAAAAAGTATTTTTATTAATTTTTTTTGTGAAGAAAAATTCTATCGAAAACTGAAGAATTAATTCTTAAAATCAACTAAGATCTAACAAGTTTTATTGATTTTACCATTTTGTCATAGAAAAAATTAACAAAGAAAAAGTCCTAAATCTAACAAAGAAATAGTAAGAATCAGGGAGGTGAACTGGAATTCAGGGGGGTGTAAAAGCAGGGCGCTAGACCCATACATAAATAATCCATAACAAGTTTTTTATTCCAATGTTACGAGTGTACCAAAAATCATGTAAGAGGCCTATGTGAGGGTGTGTATAAAGTTTACGGTAGTATGGTTTATAAATTAGTGTGAGGCCCAGGTGTCGGCCTAAACGAAAATATCCACAATTAGCTTTTTGCTCCACTAGTTTCAGAAAAAAAAACAGCAAATCAGTCTAAGGAGCTCACGGATTTGGCCCATATCTTCACCAAATTCAATATTGTTTTCTTATCATTATTAAAGAAAATAGAAGAAAAAAAACAGTTTATTAAAAAAACAAAACAAAAAATGTAAAAGAAACGAACAAAACGCGTGCGTTTTGTCATGAGATGTTTAGGTTGATAGTAGTGACGTTTCAACTTCTCAATATGCAAAATCTTATCTTCTTCTTCCTAGAGCCGCTCGTCATTCAACCTTCTCCGACGAATTTCAACGACCTGCTGCCATTAACAACGCCAATCCTTTTCATTCTAGCCGTTGTGCTTCACCTTCGTCCCTCAATCTCCGTCTATCTCTATTTTTCCCTTCATCTCAACTCTTCGCGGATTCAACTCGTAAAACAGGCGTGTACGAAGAAAGAAGATGAAGAATCGATGCAAGAACACGCAACACACCAGGAATTACATCATGAACGTGAAGAAGGTTCAATCGTTCAATGGATTTACCTGGATTTGCAGGAGGAGATCGATCACAGAAATCCAGAGAACTCTTCTAATCCGGATGTGAGGCGCGAAATAAACGCGAGAACATCAACCTCACAGCGACGATAGGGAGTGATCTCTGGCAATGCCGCGAATTCAGGTAGTCTCTTCTTCACTACTCTTCGTCTTTGTTCTCTTCTTCTATTTCATCCTCTTATTTTCTGTTTTTTTTTAATGCATGTGATTCGTTGTGTTGAGCCTTGCTTCTGAGATGAAGAGTTGACGTTAGTGATGATGATGATTCGTGCGTGAGAAAGTAGAGCTATGGTGGAAGGAGGTAACAAGAGGTGGTGATGAAGATGGTTGGAATGAGATGCAGAGAGAGAACTTTGTGGAGTTTTCTGGAGCGAGTTTTTAGAGGCGAAGAATTGAGTGTGTGTGAAGCTGGAAAAGAAAGAAAAGGTGCGTGAAGGAGGAAAGAGCTTTTATAGGTGATAAGGCTAGGAGAATCAGTTAGAGCTTGAGAAGATCTCAGCCATTGATCTGAGTTGTTGAAATAGATGGTTAGATCGGAGTCGGTTAGAGAGTTAGTTCGAGAAGTTGAATTCAGTTAGAAGGTTAGGATTAGTTTGAAGGTTGGTTAGTGAGGTGTCAAATTTTGGTTGTAATTGTTTTTTCGGTTAGTTGTTAGTTGGCAGATTTCAGTTTAAATGTTAGCTTGTGTAGAAGTTAGTGAATGTTAGTTGAAATGAAGTGTAAGTTAGTAAAAATAATTTGTTACTTAGTTAGCTTCAGAGTCGGTTACACAGGTTTGTATGAACTGAAGCTTTGGTTTGGATTAGTTAAAAGCTTAGGTTCGGGATTTGGGTGAGGATTAAATTTAAATGAGTTAGTTTGAAAGAATGGGGTTGAGTGCGGTTAGTGATGATTGAAACTAGTTTTTTCTGTTAGATTGTTTATTAGTTTAGTGAACTATTTCTGTTTACTTGATTTTTCTGTTTAAACTGACGTAAGGTAATTGTTTTGCTTAACTTTGGATATTTGAATTATAATTCTCTGATCTGGATTGTGTCGCAGGGCTGCAGTTGAATGGATGAGTTGGTTTTAATTGTTGAATTGGTTATTTTCATGATTTTAATTGATGCAGGGCCGTGGCTGTATGCGGGGTAAGTTTTAGCATTGAATTCTTGATTTTGTTTGAACTGGTTCTGATGTATGGTTTGAACTGGTTTATTAGATGAACTGTTTTATTGAGTGGTAAAATGAATCGGTATTTCGTTAGGGAAGCCATGGATAGTTAGAAATTGAATTTGTTAGATTAGGAGGTTGATTGGTATGTATAACCTGGAACTTATTTGTTTCTAAAAATGCCAGCAGGGTTAGAGCTTTAATAGGCTGCAGTGACTTTGGTGATGTTTGCTTTATTTTCTGAACCAGGTTTTAGTTGCTAACTGATGTGTGCTATGCATGTTCATGGCATGATCAAGATGGTTTTTGCATGGTACAAGTGGATTGCCCTAGATTTGTCAAAAAGTAATTGCAATGGTATGATATTTGGCTTAGTTCAAACATGGTGGAAGAAGGTAGCGTATTACAAGGGTTTGAGGCATAAAACTTGTCATGGAAGGAAGCATGAAGTTTAGAGAAGATTGAAGATTAGATTTAGGATGAATTTTGATGTACTTTCTTTATAATGTATTCGAAACTTGGAAATGTAGTATGATTGAAATTCGATGAAATGAGGTTGAAATGCAATTATGCACTTTGAATTTATTGACTCTTAACTTTTGGATGTTGACTTGTAACAAATGAGGTTTGAACCAATTTTCTTTACAACTTCGCAAGTTTCAAACAACACTGACAACTTTTGATCTCAACTTGAACTTTGGATGAACAACTCAAATTATCCTCAATGAAAAGTCTAAAAGTCAAACTCAAACCCGAATCCAATTGTTGGCACCAAGTATTAGAAAGAATGGTGATGATTTGAACGGAAATGCCCCTGGTGAGATTTTGAACTCACATGAATAAGTGTATTGATCTCTCTCCTTTTCCACTTCCTTTTGACTTTGTGTTTAATGGAATCCACAATACAAAGTCTCTTTCATTTGTAGCTCGAATTTGAATAGATCCTCAAGTAAGGATAAAATCCATTGAATGATAGGATTCACTGATGAGCAAACTTCATAAAAGAACCACTCTTGAATACCACATGATTAGGGAAATAAACCCTAATCATGCAGTGATGATGATAGGCCCAAGAAGACGCCCTTTAATTCTTGAGTTACATTGTAGGATAACTTGTGTTGCAAGCAACCTTAAAGCCACTTTATGCGTTGAAGAAGACCAAAAAATGATGAGAATATGAGTTTTGAATAATGTGTAATTAAGAATTTGAACATTTATCTGATAACCATGTATGAAGGACAACCCTAGTCTATGATCCTTGAATCTTTAGTTGAATGAACCCTGTAAAATATGGAGAAAAGATGGAGTGCAATAACTCGGTTAGGGAGTGTATAAATGGAGAGTACACCTGGAATTTGTCACACTTACTCACGAACTCATCAAAATCTTGCAGCATTCGAGGCCAATAATATCCAGCTCGGAGAATATTCTCGGATAGGGCTCTTCCTCTGATGGGGTTACCACATGCCCCTTCGTGAACTTCCTTAATTACTAAGGTGACCTCTGTCTCTGCTACACATCTAAGCATGGGTGTGGATCTTCCCATCTTGTATAACTTATCAGACACTATCAGATAACAAGTAGATACTTTTTTTATATTCCTAGCTTCGTTGATATCCTCTGGCAGGATTCCTTTCATCAGGTATTGCACTATCAGAGCCATCCACCCAGTGTTGTGCTCAATTGACATGGTTTCTTTCTGCTCAATGCTTGGCTTTTCCAGGGTCTCCTATATCATCGTCTTGTTTAGCCCCGACCCCTTGGTGCTAGCAAGTCAGGCTAATACATCAGCTCTTACGTTCTCTTCCCTTGGGATGTGATTGATTTTGAATTCTGCGAAGACCTTTGACAACCCTTGTGCTACTTGGAGGTACTTTAATAATGCCAAGTCCCTGGTTTGGTATTTCCCTCTCATATGTCCTGCAACCATTTGTGAATTAGTTTTTACCACTAGATGGGTTACTCCAACTTCCCTAACTAATTTCATCCTGACTATGAGAGCCTAATACTCCACTTGGTTATTGTTAGCCTGAAAGTTGAAGCCTAAAGAGTATTCCAATAGGAAGTCCCCGGGTTCCTCGAGAATGATCCCGTCTCTGCTTCCCTTAAGGTTGGAGGAACCGTCTACGTGAAGAGTCCACCTGCTTACATTTTCTTTCGGTATTAGGCTACTTAGCTCAACTACGAAGTTGGTCAACGCTTGTGATTTGATGATGGTTCTCGGGGTAAATTTAATATCGTACTCCAACAATTCTAAAGCCCAAGTGACCATTCTCCCAGCTAGATCTGGGTTCCTTGGTATCTGTTTGATGGGATAATTGGTTCTTATGGTTACCAGGTGACCTTGGAAGCAGTGCCTCAACTTCCGGGTTGTTATCACCAATTCTAATGCCAACTTTTCGATCTTCTGTGTAGCGCCGCTCCGCTCTTTTCAGAACTTTGACGACGAAGTACACCAACTTTTCCCCATCTCCCCCCTGCTGCACAAAAACCGAGCTCATAGCTTTCTCAGAGACCTCCTGGTATAGAGTCAAGGGTGCATTCTCCTCTGGTCTCGTCAGGATTAGGGGAGAGGATATAAAGCACTTTACTTCTTGAAAGGCCTCTTCGCAAGCTACTCAGCACATGACAAAAAACGAGATAGAGAAACTAACCTGCCTACACATGTCTATGATCGCCTGGAATTTGTCCAGGTTGGCCTTTATTCCTCGGTTCGTGAGCATGAACCCCGAGAATTTTCCGGCTTGTACTCCAAAGATACATTTGTCTGGATTAAGCCTTATAGCATACCTTTTTATGGACACGAGCATTTCTTCCAAGTCTGTTACATGTCGTTTTTCCATGGTGGTTTTGACGACCATGTTATTTACATACACTTCTAGATTTCTTATGATTTGAGTGGCGAATACCTTATCCATTAGTCGTTGATAAGTGGGACCTGCATTCTTGAGGCCGAATGGCATTACTTCATAGTAATAATTACTTCAATCCGTCATGAAGGCAGTTTTTGGTGCATCGGTCAGGCTCATGCAAATTTAGTTGTATCCCGAGTAGGCATCCATGAAACTGAGAAACCTATAGCCTAAGGTTTCATCGATAAGCCAGTTGTAGCGGTAGAAATATTGAGACTAAGCCATTGGATTGACTTGACTCGCACAAATCAAATTTAAAAATCGCCACCACACTTTATTGTTTCCAAAGGAATGAGAAAAGAGCGAATAACCAAAAAAAATGGGGAGAGAATCTAGGTGCGGGGGTTGGTTATGCAAAGGGAAGGTATTAGCACCATAAACATCTATGGTACTCCGTAGGAACCTCTTTGAAAATTTGTATATTTTGGATATAAATATTGCATAAAAAATAGATGGTGGAGATGGGAAAAGAAATATTTTTTACAATTTTTGCACCCTCCGCGGTTGCGAACCTTTAGTGTCTACGTAACACCTTCCGTGCAATAGGGGATCATGGTATTCGTAGTTCACCTTTAAAAAATTTAAAATACAAATGTGTTGGTTAATTTTAAGAGACAATACATCATCGTCGTATCCGAGTGGAAGAACATACTTACTACCCACGATTATGAGAAAGGAGAATTTGCATCATCTCAAAGCGGATATAGGTTGGATTTTAAAATCAACAAAGTCTCGCTCAACACCCAAGTGGAAAATATCTCAGTTCACTATATATCGTAGAAGTATAGTAGCTCGCATCACTACAAAGATTGACAAGAGTCTAATATTTTGAGAAAAATTTAAGGTAAAAAGCCAAAGTGGCAAAATAGTTTGAATGAGATTGATTGACTTTTAGTCTTCTCACAAAAATGTCAAGGTATTATTAAGTTGTTTAAAGTTTGATTAAGAAAAGATTTTCAAAATGCATGGACCTAAGTCTAGGTTTATTGTGAAAGCGGTTCAAGTTTAGAAAACAAGAATAGTTTTGAAAAGGAGGTAGAAGATTTTTGAAATTAAAGAAGATTGGAGAAGATGAAAGGACTATCCTAAAGCATAAGGTAAAAGCTAGGGAAAAGAACCGTCTAACCAATAAGAAGCCAACACTTGACACAATGAGTCAATGTAGAATTCCCATCCTTTGGATTGAAACCAAACAAGCATAGATATTAAACCTCTTGATAATACCAAACATCAAATGCATTAAGTCTTCACAAAAATTGGGCAGAGTAGCGGCTGTATACAGATGAATTCCCAATTGCAGACAAAGCATATAATCAGAATAACCCGCACATAAAGAAAATAAACCCAATGTCTTGGGATAAACCCCAAGAACTCCAGACAAAATAACAACAGAAGTCATAAGGTCTCAAGGTAGTCAAGGTCTCTAATATTAAGTCTAAGAAGTCCATAACTCCAAAATGCCAAGGATAGTAACCAAATAGTCCAAGTAACCTTAAAGCTTTTTTTTTGTTCAAGTTGATTATTAGGTATCTTCAAAAAGAAAATGAAAGCTCAAGTGAGCAAAATAAAAAATTACATAAAGATAAATGCTCAAGTGAGAAAATATGAAAATAGCATGAAATGTAAATGCTAAAATAAATGGTGCATAAAAGTAAAGGCGTAAAGTAAAAGCATAAAAATAAAAGTCAATTGTTAATGAGTTGGAAATTTGAGGTTAGTTGAATAACCATCTTGAATTTTTCATTTGAAAACTCATTAGAAGATTGATAAAATCAAAGCCTCTCAACAACAAGTTTCATTTGCTTTTTGTCAAGTATATCATTCATTTCAAATTCTCGAAGCGACAACATATGATCAACGATGTTTAAATGATCCGCTTAGACCAAAGTTTATAAATATTCATTAGAGGATTGATAAGACCAAAGCCTCCTAACAGTGAATCTCAAGGTCATTGGATCAAAGGTTTCAAATTAAACATACCTGACGAATGATCATTTCTCGAATCGGGGCAAAATTTAGTGCTATGTTAAGCAATCGTAAGTGGACTTATATAGAAGTCACACCTATTTTGAGTCCGGTCTATAGCAATCTATGTACCATATGTTTGGAAAAATAATATGTAAATCATCCTCTAACAATATGTAGCACAAGTAAGAAAGAGATAAGATGAAGAGGGAGGGGATGTATTAGACGAAAGTAGGGTTTCAAATATCATCAACATCATTCATCCATTTTGGTGAATTTGGTTTCTCAACCTATCAACATCCAAGATCTAACGAGGTTGAGGAATTTGTCACCAAATGAAGTCCAAGTCAGAACCAAATAAAAAATAATAAAATAATATTTAATAAAAAAAATTTAATAAAAAAATATTTAAATGGTTAATAAAAAGGAAAATAAATGGTAAAATACACAAAGTATATTAAAATACCAAATAAAAATCCTAAAAAATAGTCAGGGGTAAAAAATAATTCAATAATAGTTGACAAAAATTTCCAAAAGTTTTTAAAGTCAGAAACTATTTTTAGAAATAAAAGAAATAA